AATGCCTGTGGGGGGCAGACAGGTAACATGAATGCGTGATTAGCAGCAGATGTAACACTATGGAAAGTGGTGGTGACTGTTGACAAAGTGGGAGGTATATTTCCAGCCTAAAGACATTCAAATTTGAAGGTTAAAAAAAGTGATACTAGTGAAACAATATTGCCTAATGTCAGATTAGTTCATGGGCTGGATTTACCTACAAAACATCTTGCAACTCTCAGAAATAAAGAGCAGTATAGTATGGTAGCAGGGAAGAAAATAGATATTGGGGTTAAACTGGCCTATGTTTAAACTGATATGACCTCAAGTAAGTTAAGGAGGGCCTTTAAGACTCATTTTTATATATCTATAAAATCCTGTCTCCAGGATTGTTTTGAAGACTTTAGAACAATGTAAACTTACTACCAATAATTATTAATTAAAGAAGTCCAAGCCTTTCTATGTAAATATCCTGCTCACTTTAACCTAGAATGCTCACAGCAAAATTTTTCTCCCAGTTGATTCGTATCCAAAGTGTTGAGGTGACCAAGTGCGTGCTGAAGTTAGAAAGATAGGCTGGGCGCGGTGGCTCACGCCTATAATCCCAGCACTTTGGGAGGCAGAGACGGGTGGATCACAAGGTCAAGAGATTCACACCATCCTGGTCAACATGGTGAAACCCCGTCTTTACTAAAAATACAAAAATTAGCTGGGCATGGTGGCGCATGCCTGTAGTCCCAGCTACTCGGGAGGCTGAGGCAGGAGAATTGCCTGAACCCAGGAGGTGGAGGTTGCGGTGAGCCGAGATCGCGACATTGCACTCCAGCCTGGGTAACAAGAGCGAAACGCTGTCTCAAAAAAAGATAAAAGCATGAAGATGCGTTTGGGTGAACCTAGAGGAAGACTGTCAAGACTCTGTTCTGCGATGGCCTTGTCTTCATGTTATTCCACACTCTGAGATCTGGCCATTGGCCTTCCAATCCAACAATAAACTCATTACAACACTCAGAAATGAGAAAGCACATAGTAATGAACTCACATGAATTTCACATGCAACTGACACATGAAGCAGAATGTCTGGTTTTTTTTTTTCTTTAGTGTGGGTATTGATCTCTAGGTGGAGCTCTTTACATCCTTAAACCAAGGCAACCCACTCTCAATATTAGAGTATCCAAGAAACTGCAGACATCTCACTTAGCTTCCCTTGTACTACATCTGGTTGATTGTAGTTTTTACTTGCTTTAAATTTTTTAAAAAAATATATGTGATACCTTTGTGAAGGAAAAAATAAAAACAAGAAAAAAAGAACTGCTCTATTTCTGAATTTAGAACCAGACATTAATTCCTGTTTCAGACTATCATGACCACAAGGAAATAAGAAATATCTTCCCATGAAATGTTTCTGCTCATGATTTCTTTCAGATACTTCAAAATATTTAGAAGTTTTAGGACTTTCGTTAGCCAAAGTCTGGCTGAGGTGATGTATTTTCTCTGTTCCCGAGTCGGGTGGTAGAGGGGGAATAAGCAGCAGGAATCTATTCCATCTAGGGTTGGCAGATTTGACAAATGAAATTTGAATTTCAGGTAAAAGTGAGTACGTTTTTAGTATAAGTATGCCCCCATTCAAATTGGCAATATCTGGAATTTACGGGATATACTCATACTAACAAACTATTATTGTTTATCTGAAATCCAAATTTCACTGAACATCCAGTATTTTTGTTTGGCAACCTTAATTATTTTACCCACAGGGTAAAAGCCCTCATCAGTGGAGAGAGAGCTCTCTCCTTCGTGAGTGCTGAGGTGTTGTGGAGGTTGAGAAGGCATGTTTTCTTTGGAGACTGATTTCTGATAGGTAAGGCCTGAGCCTGGAGCACCAATAGCTATTAGATCTCTATAGTGTTCCAGCCAACTATCATAGCATCTGGCGATGGGGACCAAAGAGGAGGGAGCTGAAGAAAACCTTTCCCTCCGTGTGCTCTTAGAACAGAGATGAGTTGCTTTTAGAGATAAAATATAGCCTATTAGGACAATCAAAGAAAAAGTGTCAAATAGGATATAGGAATAAATTATCTGGAAAATCAGAATTATATATGTATCTATTACTTATTAATAGAAATGATTTTGGAGACGCCGGGCATGGTGGCTCACACCTGTAATCCCAGCACTTTGCAAGCCTGAGGCAGGCGGATCACCTGAGGTGGGGAGTTCGAGAGCAGCCTAACATGGTGAAACCCTGTCTCTTAAAAAAATAAAAATAATAAAGTGATCTGAGCACAATGGCACGTGCCTGTGGTCCCAGGTACTCTGGAGGCTGAGGTGGAAAAATCTCGAGCCAAGGAGTGTCCAGACTGCAGTGAGTGAGCTAGGATGTCACCACTGCACTCCAGAATTTAACAGTCTCCCTCTCTCTCTCTCTCTCCCCCTGCCCCCATCTCTAAAATAAAAAGTTTTAAAAAAAGAATAAAAAAGAAATGATTTTGGAGACAATCTCTCTGCCTCCTATAATTTTGCAAATGAGAATACAGAGGCTCAAAAGAGTTTCCTTTTTGGAATGTGATGGACGGGGTGTGTGTGCATGTGTGTGCAGAAGCCGAGCAGTAGTAGTTGCAGCAGTAGCAGAAGGAGATGGTGAAGGAGCAAAATGAGAAGGCCGAAGAGAAGGAGGAGGAGGAATAAAAGGGGGAGGAGGAAGAAAACAGAGGCAGAGAGACCTGAAGTACAAGTACTTGCCACTACACGTGTCCCGCTATGGGCTTCTACAACTGTTTTCCCTATAATTTTGTAAAAATGTACATAAATGATACACATTCCTTAGAGAAATCTAGGATTTCATACAAACAAAAGAAAACTCTCTTCCATTAATCCGACATATAGATATTACTATTGTTAACACGTTAGTGTACAGAGAAAGCACTTTGGTATGAAGGGCCTAGCATTCATTCTGCCTTCTTCAGGGAGTCATACCCACATTTTGCTCTGGGGATAGCCACGCAATCAATGGAATATAATTTCTAGTGGGACTACCAATCCAGGTGTCACATCCTCTGCTGGGAAAGCAGTAGGCAGGTGAGCAAGGTGTGATTTCAGTAGCTAACTAAGTGACTCAAGGACTGAAAAGGCAGGAGTTCTTCCTCCTGAAAGAGGAACGTGGTGAGATCACTCACTGGCACGTAGCACCCAAACACCTGAAGCAGCTCTGAGTCCTGGGCCTCTTGAGAACTAATTCTTCGCCTTTTCCTTCAATTCTAATACCATAAATTGATTGCACTGATGGCCCCAACTAGTGGCCTCCATATCCATGCCCTGTGCAAGAGACGGAGGCTCATCAAGAACTGAAGTCTAGTTTCCCACCTTTTAAATCTGGGATGCATTGGGACTTGCTTTAGCCAGGAGAATGCTGGAACAGGGAAGGTGTGTCCACTCGGGGCCTCAACTTCCAGAGGGCTTGTATGCTTCCAGTCTCTCTTGGAATCACAAGAACAAGATTGGTGTCAGCTGCTGGAGGATGACAAACCACTTGAAGGAGAGCACAGGGGTCTTGGCCAGCTCTTAGAAGCAGAACCACCTCATGCACAGACAGCTGACCTCAGATACATGAAGGAGACCAGCTTACATCAAGAGCTAAATAAATGTTCTAAGCCTCTAAGTTTGAAGTGGTTTGTTATGCAGCAATACTTAACTCATACTTCTGTGAACTTCCACATCTTTCTGATAAATTCCATTTTTTTGTGAATTTCTGTAGCATTAAACAAAGAACTCTATTAGATACTTTCCAACTAGTCTTTCATTCTTGTAACAGAATATAATCAGATCACACATCCTCTTTTGTTGTTTACTTTATTTCCCTTTGCAACTAATTTTGAGAATCTTTCCCTAACAATCAAGTGTATACAGTAAAGAAGGAAAATCTCCCAAATGCCACTTCTGAGCCTCTGCCCAAATCAAGTTTCATCATGACATCATGGCCACTAGCCAAAATGCCATTTGCAGGTAGGCCTAGCCTGATCTGTTCTGTCCAGAAGGAAGTGCCTGTAGCTTGTTTCTCCATGAGATTATTGGACAGCACTGTGACTTTTCACAGCTTGATGACCAAGAGAAGGACACAGTCATGCCTCAGAGGTGCTTCAGAACATGAACCTTCCCAGGCTTATTTATCTCTTTGGAGAATGAAGGCAATAATTGCATTCAGAATGTTTTATTATTTTCAAACGTATAAAACATATGGGCAGCAAAGACAGAAAAAAAGATAAGACATTCCTCATAATGTTTTATCTTCTGACCCAAAACTGAGTGATTGGAGCTCTCCAGTACTTTTATTCCTGGTGATCCTATTTCCATTATCCTTTTTTTTTTTTCCCACCAAATGGGAGCTTTAATTTGCGATATTACTTGTTTGGCAGAGTAGGACAAGGGGAGGGTGCAATGCCTGCCCCATAACTCTAGTCTTTATGCTAACGGAAATACATTAATATTTTCCAAGGAAAATGAGTGTTTGTAAAATGATCCTCCTGCAGCTGTGTACACGTTTCTATTGGAATTTTCTGAATGCATTATATGCTTTGGTCTTTTCCAATAAGGCACACAACTGGAGATCTATTCTTATCTTGCTTGCTTTTCCTTTGGATTTAATTTTTTGTTGCTAAGAGTAATTCCTCTGGCATTTCTCTCATTTAATCCTCATCAAAAGTCCATGAAGTGTAGATATTATTATTATTCTCCTTGGAATAAACTGAGGCTTAGAGAAGGCAAGTAAATGGTGTGACATCTTGTAGCTAATAAATGACAGAGCTGGGATGCCACTCTTGTGTGCCAAACTCCCAAATCAGGATGCTTTACCTTAATGTTTTAATGTCCCAGTTCCGACTGAATTTTAAATGCAATAAAGACTTAAAAATTAAATCACCAAAGTATGGTGATTCCCCTTTTTTACAAAGTGGGAAACAATAACTGGTCTTAATGAGTTTCCTTCCAGTCTTAAAAAAGTATGATGTTTAAATCTCTGTCTCTTTTCTTCCTAGGCTGCATCCTCGGACTTTCATCTAAGCCTGAAGAGGGCAAGAGAGCCAGCAATGTCTCCCTGAATGGGACTACGGGGGACCCTGGTAACGGCACCTCATTCAGCAACTTGAGAAACATCAGCAATATTACTACAAGCAATCACTTAGGTGCTTGACTGTGGACAGGAATACAAGACATGTGGAACACACTGGCATTCATTTTTAAAGGATGATTTCACCTTAAGAGGTAAATATTCATGGAAAACAAAAAAGCTCCTACAAGAAAAACCAGAAGAATTATGATACAGGTCAGCACTGTCCAACAGAACTTTCTGTCATTATGCAAATGTATTATATCTGTGCTGTTCAATATATGACATATCCAATATATTAGCCACCTATGGCTACGGAGCACATGAAATGTACCTAATATGATGGAGGAACTCATTTTTAAACTTTAATTATTTTTATTAGCTTAGCTAACTTTAATGAACTAAAATTTAAATTTAAATAGCCAAATGTGGCCAGTGGCTACCATATTGGACAGCACAGCTATGCGTGGCCATAGAAGTATGGTGAAGTGGTCTGGGAATGCCTCATCAAGAAAGTACATTTTGAGAGGCTTTTGAAGTGGTGTAAGGAGGGAAGAAAATGCAGTTGGATTCAGAAAGATGGGAGGGAATGAACAAAACACAAGGTTTGTTCTAGTAGAAGGCCTGGGGTTACAGATTCAAATGCCTACAGAAAGAATCATAAGGTAGGCTGGTAGGCCAGGCACCGTGGCTCACACCTGTAATCCCAGTACTTTGGGAGGCCAAGGTGGTTGGATTACTTGAGGTCAGGAGTTCAAGACCAGCCTGGCCAACATGGTGAAACCCCATCTCTACTAAAAATACAAATATTAGCCAGCTGTGGTGGTGCCTATAATCCCAGCTACTCAGGAGGCTGAGGCAGGAGAATCACTTGAACCTAGAAGCCAGGGGTTACAGTGAGCCAGGATCATGCCTCTGCATTCCAGCCTGGGGAACAAAAGAAATAGGATTGGTGGGGGGTTATGAGGACTATGGAGATTAGAGACCCTACCCCAATCTAAAGTGGCAGTCACTAGTCAGCTCCAGACAGTTATTGCCTTACAGAAATGTAGGCTCAATGTTGACTATCTTATTTTTGGAGGCAGTCACCTAATTTTAAGTCTTGGCCATAGTATCGGTCAGCGTGGGCTGAATGTTCTTAGCAGATGCTGTTGGTGCTCCATCATATTCACTCAGCACTCCCCTCTGCAGGTGAGGCTGCCTACTGCCACTGCCTTCAACTCTGCCCTAAGGCACTGTGCACACACTTGACCTGCATGCAACGCATGTGGCAATGCTAAAATGTTAATGCACTTGGAAGTGGCTTTCACGCAATGAGAGGTAAGTACATAAATATGCTAATCTTACCTCTCAGTTAGGATAGCTCTGAGCTATGTTCTGTATGTCTCCCAGAGTTTCCTTGTGTGACTGAGCTCCAGCTGCCACAGTACAAACTGGTAGATAATGTGCCATTCATTGAAATCCAACCCTTTTCCTTCTCACTTTCCCACTTGCCTGTCTACTGATGTTTCCTGGAATCACCTCCCAATGAACTACTTGGGCACCAATCCATGTCTCAGAACCTGATCCTGGGAGGAATCCAAACAAAAACACTGTTGCAGCAAACAAAGTCAAAATCCCAGTGGCAAACACAATAATGTTTCAATGAGGGTCATTGTGGAGACTGTTCCATCATCCAGGGAGCCAGACTCCCTGTATCAAGTGGCTCTCCATCTTCTGTGACTCCTTCCTTCTTTGCATTCAGTTGCAGATGGGGACAGATAGAGAAGGTGGAGGGCTGGGAAGAGGATTTTTGCTGCCAAGGCCTGGAAACAGTGACCAGCACTTCTGTTTATATCCATTGGCAGAACTCGACATGTGGTCCCTTCTACATGTTAGGGATGCTGGGAAATGTAGTGCAGCTGTGCACCAACTGTAGAAGGAAATAGGTTTGCTAAACACATAGCAGTTTCTGCTACTGTAACTTACTGATTGATTGATTGAGACAGAGTGTCACTCTGTTGCCCAGGCTGGAGTGCAGTGGCATGATCTCAGCTCACTGCAACCTCTGCCTTTAGAGTTCAAGTGATTCTTCTGCCTCAGCCTCCTGAGTAGCTGGGATTATAGGCATGTGCCACCACACCCGACTAATTTTTATTTTTGTTTTTTAGTAGAGATGGGGTTTTCCACATGTTCAGGCTGGTCTTGAACTCCTGGCCTCAAGGGATCTGCTCATCTCAGCCTCCATATGTGCCAGGATTATAGGCATGAGCCACCGTGCCCAGCCTGCAACTTATTTAGAATTTGTAAAAATACTGTCCAGGCCAAAGAAGCTATGCCTGTGGACCAAAGTAAGCTTGTGGACCAACAGTTTCACCTGTGGCCCAGATGTTATTCCCTAGAATTGAAAGGGAAAAAATTTGCTACCCAACAAGTTCTTAACTTGCACAGAAATAAGCGTGTCACATTTATCCAACTGTGTGGTAAAATGACTATATGAAAATTGAATCAATTCTCCAATGACTGAGTTTATAATTTCAGGGAGAAAATGATCATTTTATTTCTGATAGTTCTTCCATGATCAGTGGGTTCCTAACAAGATAGCTCTTACTTCTTTCATCATCTGTGAAGTGATTATCTATCAGTAAATGAAAGGTCATGTCAGTGTAGTCCCACTTCCACCTGGTCTTCAACTTCTCCTCCTGGATTCCCTATGCTCCAGCCCCACTGCTTGTTTCTCAAACTTGCCGAATATTTTACACCTTCAGAATTTTGCAAATGCTGTTCCCTATTCCAGAAATGTGTTCCTGCTCTCTTCTTCTCTTTGCCTCATTCTTTACCCAACTGGGTCCCCTGTATTTGTCAAGTCTTGGCATAAATGTCCTTTCTTCATAGAGGCTTTGACTGGCACGAAACAAAGGGGCTTTCCTCCACCCACCATTATTCCTGCTCCTTCTATCTATCACGATTCAGAACTGTATCTGCACATTTCACACACAGCAGCACTGGGCAGGAGCACTCAGTACAGTGTTTTGACGTTGTCAGAACTCAAAGATACCTGTCAAATAAATACATGAATACCAGGAAAACTCCACTGCTTTAAAGAAGTCTGTGTGGATGCCTGTTATAATTAAAATAACAACTCCTCATCTGTCTTGAAAGTTTAGTTAAACTTGATTTGGATTTAACAAAGAGAAGTATTTATCTGTTGAATTCTACCTGAGGCAAAGAAATAAAATAAAAATCTCTTTATCTCAGAAATCCCTGAACTTACTCTCTTCTAAAACTTACCTAGATAAAACTCAGTGTGATCATTTATGTCAACAGGGGTAGAGATAAAAGCTCTTTGAAAAAGTGAACGTGATATTTACAAAGTAAAATGTTAATTCCTAAAAACACCATTGTCAAGTCAGGGGAAACAAGCTCGGGGGAAAAACAAGCTCAGTGGGGGAAAAAAAGTAGGAATCAACCTTGATTTTTCCCTGCTCCTTCCAATCTCTCTGCCATCATTCTGAGCTGCACTTCCAAACACAGCTCAGCTTCACCTCTTGCCTCTTCCTCTTTTGTCCAAGATTGTGTCAGTCCAAGCTGCTGAATGTATAATGAAGCTATCTGTCTAAGAAGCACAGTTACTTGTTTAGTTAGAAATGTAATTTTTTGTTTTGGGGTTTTATCTGGGAGGGATTTGTTGCCAAGTGGTAGAATTTGAAAGTGTTTTCCTTATAGGAGGCAGATTCAGAAGTCTGGCCTAAGACTCTTTTGGAAGCTGAAGCTAATTAAAATATTTATTTTCGTCCCTGTAGCTAAGACACGGCAGGGGAGAGAGTCCAGCATTTGCTTTATGAAGGTATATCTATATCCACTAACCTCTTATGTGCCACGTTCAGCGTCTGCCCCAAGGCTGCCACACCTGCTCAAACACCTGCCCAGTATGTGGTCGAACAGTATTTAACGGCTTACCTAACCCAGGGTCACCCTCCTTTACCTGAGGACAATAGAGCCCTGTTCCACATATTTATTATCTATAGACTCACCTCTGAGGAAGTACTTTCCTAGTTTCACCATCAATGAGGTCTGAAAAGCTATACAGAAGAGAAACAGAAAAAAAAGAACGCTAAAGAAAGAAGCTAAAAAATAATTGTGTCATTTTTTAAAAAAATCAGAGGCTAGGCACGGTGGCTCATACCTGTAATTCTACTTTGGGAGGCCGAGGTGGATGGATCACAAGGTCAAGAGATCAAGACTATCCTGGCCAACATGGTGAAATCCCACCTCTACTAAAAATACAAAAATTGGCTGGGTGTGGTGGTGTGTGCCTGTAGCCCCAGCTACTCAGGAGGCTGAGGCAGGAGAGTCACTAGAACTTGGGAGGTGGAGATTGCAGTGAGCCGAGATTGTGCCACTGCACTTCAGCCTGGTGACAGAGCAAGGCTCTGTTTAAAAAAAAAAAATCACAGTGGCTGAGAAAGATACAAGAATATGTTAGGTGTCCTCCGTACTTCCAGAGTGCCTACAGAATCCTCAAAGAAGTGTAAAGCCATAAAACAAGACAGTCAGTTTAAGCATTCACTGTTTTTGAATGGTGAAAATGAATAATGATGCCCCTTCTGAATAATCACTATATCCAAGGAGAGGCTAGATGCTTTACTTACATTATCACATTACTTCCTCCTACTCTCTGCCATAGTAAAGAATATATTTATGAATATGCTATTATATTTATTTAATTTTTTTTTTTTGAGACGGAGTTTCGCTCTTGTTACCCAGGCTGGAGTGCAATGGTGCAATCTCGGCTCACCACAACCTCCGCCTCCTGGGTTCAGGCAATTCTCCTGCCTCAGCCTCCTGAGTAGCTGGGATTAGAGGCATGAGCCACCATGCCCAGATAATTTTTTGTATCTTTAGTAGAGACAGGGTTTCACCATGTTGACTGGGATGGTCTCTATCTCTTGACCTCGTGATCCACCCACCTCGGCCTCCCAAAGTGCTGGGATTACAGGCTTGAGCCACCGCGCCTGGCCTATATTTATTTAATATTTATGGATGCTTTGCAAATGAGGAAACTAGGGCTCCAAGAAGTTCGATGACTTGGGAAGTAGTAACATGTGGGCTAAGAGCAGATTTGGAGGTCACATCGTCTGGCCCACCTCTGCTGCTGACCAGCAGTGTCAAATTAAGGAATTTAGATAAATTTCTTAATCTCACTAAGTTTCTGTTTTGTCACAAAAGGGCAATGGTAATAGGTAATGACACATCTTACTTGGGAAGATGTAATGAGTTAACACACACAGAGTACCTGGCACAACAACTAATGCATCACCTAGCACACAAGACAGGCTGAGCCAGGGTTTGCCATCCTCCTCCTCAGAGACGCACATGGCTAGCGGGTTGAGAATGAGGCTGCCAACTCTGGTTGTTTTATTCTGCTCATAAAGCTTCTGTATGTTCCATTTGAAAAAACTAAATTCAGAGAAAAATAGCTGGAAATAGAAAAGGATGGTCAAGGGAGAACACCAGAACCAGAAGGAGGCAAAGATCAGTTCCTTCTGTATCTGGAACTTGCCTTCTATGGGCCCTTTGTATCCTCTACCAGGACCTGGAGAAAAATCTGTTTGGTGAGCTAAGAAGTATTTGTTTTTTTAATCAAGAGAAGTCTCTATAAGGCTTCCAGAATTCTCATCCTTGATGGTGAAAGAAATTACAATGTGCATATTCTATTGTTACAGGCCAACTTCCCATCTTCCTTCCCCCAAGACTGCCTTTCCCCATACCTTATTCCACATTCTCCCCCTTCTCCACTTCTTGACATTGGCCTGGTTCTTCAAGGACCACCTGAAATCCCACCACCTCTCCAGGGTTCTTCCCCAGGGTTCTGGTCTCCCCTTTCTCTGGAGGCTGAAACATGTATTTTTAGATTAAATATCTAATTGATTTTCTGTTTGTTTTTTTTTTTTTTGAGACGGAGTTTCGCTCTTGTTACCCAGACTGGAGTGCAATGGCGTGATCTCGGCTCACTGCAACCTCCACCTCCTGGGTTCAAGCAATTCTCCTGCCTCAGCCTCCCAAGTAGCTGGGACTACAGGCACGCACCACCATGCCCAGCTAATTTTGTATTTTTAGAAGAGATGGGGTTTCACCATGTTGACCAGGATGGTCTTGATCTCTTGACCTCGTGATCCAACCGCCTCAGCCTCCCAAAGTGCTGGGATTATAGGGCGTGAGCCACCAGGCCTGGCCTGATTTTTCTGTTTCATGTGGGCTAATATCCCCTAAATAGGTTATGTACTTCCTTTGTGTAGTAAATGTCAAACCTGGAAGGTTCTAAATAGATATGTACTTTG